TTTGTTAATAAAAAATTTCTGTAAATAGTTCAATAATTTGCAAATTCTTTGAGCGTGCAAACATTTTTAATCTCTTTCACGTGCATGTAATACAAACGAAATTATGAAAGAAATTATATCGAGCGCTGATCACTCAACTAATAATTTCTTACATAATCCCGCTGATTGTTTTTTATACACCTCTATTACCTTATACGGACAGATGGGATCCTCGCGGCACTCGTCGGCTGCCGTGGGAAAAGAGTTGAAGTAATACTTGATATGATCAGGCGGTAGATTAATGTCTGTACAATTACTGTACGTAACTATGATCAAGAGTGTCAACGCGATTAACCACGAGTATTTAACAGATAACGCGTTATTAATCATCATTGTAATATGCACTAATGATTATTAAGCCGGGATTCCCTGAGAGGTACACTCGCTTTACGGAGTGACTGGTGCGGCGTGAATGGGGCAGGTAGGGACCACCTGTGCGAATGGATGAGTATTATGACCTCATCTACTATGCGTATCCTGTCTCACGCAACCCGTCCGTGCACCCACATGAGCACGAGCGTGGCTCCTTAAAGCAAGCGGTGAAAGTCAATGTTAGACACGGCAACTACTATCATCTGTTTCGTACTAACGCGTGCTAGACTTACCTGATTATCCTTGAAAATTTCTCACTAACGAAGAATAGGTTCTAGAACGTCCCCCTCTTATTTTTGAATTCATACCGGTATTTCGAATCCTGTTGACACAATCGGTAATATAGATAAATAAATATTCTACACTGATTGAATTAATTACGAGATGCACGCGCGTATCGTATGGATCAAATAGGCTCCCGTTTTCTCACCTTTGCTTATTATGAAACAAGAAATTCCACAGACCGGGCATTTGACCTTACTTTCACGTAGGTTAATTATTTGAACGCTCTGTTAGTTTCAAAATGGCGAAATTCTATTACGATTTCATAGGAAATACTAGTTTTTGTAAATAAATCTCCATTATTCAAGTAACATTGAGTTATCACTAGGGAACCAACATTTACGAATGTTTTATGATGTTGATATACACTTTATTCTTCATTGATTCCCGTTTTTATATCCCACAAGTTTGATACAATCAACCGTTTTAATTTCCATCTACAGGACTTTTAAATGAACAATTTCGTACACATTTATTTACAACAGTAGTGTAAATACTTTTCTACATTTACAATGTTTGATGATAGATTTTCTTTATGATCAAATATCGTTAGAAGTGGAAACTTTTGGTATGAGACTGACTTACTCTGTATTCTCTTCCTTATTAACAGGAGATAGAATAGGATAGCAAAGCATTATCATTCCATCGTATTAATTAAAATTAATACAACCCTTTTGTACCAAACAATATGAATATAAAATAACAACAACTGAAAAATAAATTAAACGATTTAGAAAGTTAAAAAAAATGATGTGGAACTTGATATAATATTGCTTTCTTACATGCGTGACATAGTATCTACAAAATTCAGGAATTTCAAATTTCCCAGATTCAATGTTAGACATGTATTCACATAGAGGATAGAATTCACTTATAAGGCATCAGTCGAGCACGGTGGGACCATTGTCTACTGTTAACGCAGAGTGATGGCTTCCGTCATCCAGTATGTTTGCACGCAAAATGAACGCGGCATTGACTCTTGATAAGCCCACGAGACGCACCTTATGCTAATTCCCGGTGAATATGTCAAAAACCATTTCGACGTATACGGTAGAGACGGAGTTCGATCTTCTCCCGAGGCGTGGTCGATGTAGATCGTATCTTTGCAGTTTATACGATTTTGCTCGTCGAAGAGAGATTTGAATCTAAGGGTCTCGACGTATATCTACCGCTTGAGATACAGCGAGTCCCACACTCGGTTAGGCATGAATCGTTACGTAATCTGGAAGACGCGGATAGCTGCAGTTGTTGTTGCCCGCAGGTGTTTTTATCGGTCCGTAAGAAATCCTTTCTGTATGGAATTAAAGCCAGGTTCGGAGCGAGTTCCATCGTGGTGAACAACGTGAACGTACATACATACATCGGCCATGCCGGGCTAACAAAGTTATTTATTTAATGCAACGGCTCCTTTCTAATTTCATTTTCGTATACACTAAGCGGTAGATTTAAACAACGGCTCGATGCACGTGGGAATACAATAGAAGTGAACTTACAACGGAAACTTAGTTTCGAAACGTTTCAGCTGTAGAAACTGTGCTCCGATTTTTTCTACCTTAGAATATGGGAGCACTTTGTAAATGGATACAAGAATTGTAATTGGCCTGGTCTCGAATGACTCAATGCCGATAGCGAACCAAGAGAATTAACCCGAGCACGGCTCGATCTTCTCTAAGTTCCCTGTTTATCGATAATTCACAAATCAATGCTAATCGATGCCAAGGGAACCGAGATAACGGATACGAGAGACAATGGCGTATATTATAGATACCTCCGGCGTCAACCTGCCATGGCGTGACCCGGAAACGGATCGCGTCGAACAAGCTAGTATATGTATGTATATACAAATACAGGTATATATCAGTGGAGACATACCGGACTGGCCGGCATGGACTGCTGCGGATAGATGGAGAGAATGATCTACATCGATCACGATCACGGCACCCTCGCCTCGATCCGCAACGGACACGGCGCGGTTACAACGGTACCTCTTCGTTATCCATTATCGACGAAATCGCCATCATCTTTCTTTCTTAATAATTTTATCAATCTGAATCGGGTTTTGTGAGTTCGCGCCACGATCTGATCGGGAAGCATTACCGATCAGTGGACTGGTATGAAAAATGTCGTTGTGCCGGGAATTACTGAATCGGGCGGCGCGCGGCTCTCTCGTCCCACGCCCGGAAGAATGGAATAATGGCTAGTAACGGAGCGTTTGTATGATCAATTTTGCGACAGGATTGCGTAATGGTTTGATAAACGGGCTTCACGTGGAAGTGTAACACGTAAGAAATGTGGCGTGCGAGTTGTAAAACGAGCGCGTGGCATCGGTGCAGCGCGGATTGTCCCGCCACGGTGGCGCCACGCTTCACGGGCGACACGATGCAACCTACGCGAAATTCAGCGCCTATAATGTTCTTCATAGAGCACTTAGGAGTTCCTCCCGCGGTAACACGGAGAAAATCGTGGGGGCGACGCGTCACAGAGCAATTGCAACGGGTGTCTTGCGAAATGAGAACGCACCCACGCGGACCGTGAAAAAGTTTGGCAGTAGAATACAAATTTCCCCGTACCCGTGGACTTTTCGTTTGAACCGATTCACAGGAAAAAAGAATTCCTGTGTCCACGGCCGGCCGAATAGTTGCGTCTATCAACCTGCGAACAAAGTGCAAGACGCGTCATATATTATCGCGAATCTACCTGCGTCTTTTCTCTTTGCCACCCACGCATCCCATTTGAATACGTATACAGACATAAACTGTAACGATTGTCGTCCCTTCTGACTGAATAAAACGTTCGGTTATCGGTAGACAATGCTTTGTAGATCCTTGGAACAACAATCGTAAGTGCATGCGTTACTGCTTGCAAAATAACCGGCATAAATCGCGATTTCTTTCAATGTAGCAATCTGTTCAATGGGCAACTCGGTCTTATGCTCGCTCGTATCACAATTTGAGTAAAAATAGTACTGAAATATATTCCACAGTGAAATATATGTATATAGTACGATCCATTGATCCGCATTCAAAAATAAAAGTACTACATTACGTACAAGTATTACATTTAGTGTACGAAGTATTTCATTATTTTCATACACGGGACTATTTTATTTTATTATTGTGTTAATAAGAAATGATTTGGAAATCGTTCGTTTTCAAATTACGAAAATATCATGCATTTATCACCTGACTAGCTAATTGAGAAATAGAGATACGATCTATCCAGATTCATAACGAGCTGTTTTAGAATCTGATTATCCCGATTGCTTCGAACTGAAGTTCGTTGATTAGAAATTGCCTAGCGGCATTAGACGCAAAGAAATATCATCATAATACGCTGGGCTCTCGTTAGAGACGCCGAACTAATCGCTTAATTAATAGATGATAAATGTTCGTAATTCCAGCGTCGATTCCCCCGGCCTTCTACGAGCACTTCGTTACTCTGGCAAATTAATTGTCCACGAGAAGCGATTAAACGGAGGCTTGCATCCGATGCGATGGACAAAAAAGAATCATCTTTCGCATCAGCTTTCGAGGATCCTCCTCGAATTTTCTTCACGACCTTTGTGAACGATTTATTCCCTGTGCTACCGAGGTCACGAGGTTACAGTTCCTGATACCGTGGGCATGAAAAAAAAAACACGTGAACTTTAAAACATCGCATGGGGGCTGGCGAAGTGAGTTTAAAGTTTCCTGCGTCCGTAAAAGATTCTTAAATTTAAGTCTCAGTATTTTCGAAAGCTGTACACTGCCTTCAAATAACTCTCGAAGTGCAACGCGCATAAAGTAATCCACCATTGAAATTAATATCAATTGCATTCCGAGTTTTTATATTTTGTACACGTGGAGCTCATAACGTATATTGAATAGATATTGCGCAGCTTGATGTATCAATAATGAAAAATTACTCAAGTTACGTATCAGGAAGCACGGCAAACAAAGATCAGCTATGATTTCCAGAAAGATTAACGATAAATAATGTTCAGCTGAGATACATACTAGCTAATTTGGCATTCCTTTCTATCGTTATAATCTATCGTGCTGCACTTGTTATTGACTAGGATTTTGCATTGTGAAAAGCCATAAACACACGCTATGCTATTAATAATAGGCATAATTTGCACGCAGCTGTAGAATATTTGAAGCGATGAAGCGGCAAGCATTGAGATGTGGCATACCTAATTCACGATATCGGACTGCGTTCTTCTAATTGTGAGACAGAACCGTTAACGTTAACAATCTTATTATGATGGATCTATATTGGTACATCGGTAGAAAGTCTATCATCCACCGAGATGTCATCGTGTTACACAATGACAAGCTCACCGCTCATTATACTCACACTCGAACGTCACACGATCGTAAATGGGAGCCGGTAATTGAAATATTAATAAGATAACAGACAACATGGCAGTCATGATACGCGTGTGTCTTTGTATAGGTGTTGTAAGTGGAAGAAGGTTGGGTCGCATTAATATCGGGTTGAAACGACAATGTGAATGGCTGCGCGTAACACGACGTCTCTAACGAATTATTATCACTTGTTCGGTTGATTATGGTGGAACGATAAATCAAACGTTTGTCACATCATCCATCTTAAAAGTGTCTTAATCTCTCGAGAGACACGGCTACCACATTAACCCGAGGCCCTAAATTCTTCTTTTGCAATTCAAAAATTTCAGCCGGACTTGGCCCGTGATATCGTCTAACAGTCTAACCGGCTAGCTTAGCGTCTCGACAAGGCAATTACTCTTCTAACCGTTCATATCCGGGAAATAAATTGATGAACAGAGACGAAGCGTTTTGACGAATGCTGATCGGCACTGCGCAGCGCCTCGTCTCTCGCTCCCTCTCGAAGGTAGACGCGTGAGTCGGAGGTGAACCGAGCAATAGTCGACGTTTTTGTTAACGTCAACGACAACTTGTCCCGCGGTGTTCACGATTCGACCTGGGCTACGACCTCGGAGTCGTAAATTTCGCGTCATAGCGGTTGTCACCGGGTTCACCTTTTTACGAGCGTACCACGACTCGTATACGCGTTCGCTTGCGAGACATACTTATCCGCTGCATCAAGCTCTTGCTTCGGCTAACAGTTGTTAAGAAGATCCTTCGGTTAGACCTGACGACCACTTCGTCCTTCCTTTCAGGATACTCCTCTCGCATTTTCAAGGGTACGACCACCACGCCATGAATCAAATCCTGCAAAGGATATGTTTCTCTGAAACTATGTATTTCATATCGAAGAAACTTGAATTTTTCGTTTGATTCCTTTATCCGTGTCTAACATTATGTATGCCATAATCCAACATTGATCTCACACGTTGAGCTTAAGGATTCTGTGCATGCCAGTGCGACGTGATTTACAATGTAAACAAATTATCCTAATCGCGACGTGCGCTTACTAGAGAAAATAATCTCTGAAAGCGGAAATACTGGATCCCTTTTAGTCGA